CGGGGACGCCGCCCCCGGGAATGCTCTCGGCCAAAGCGGCAATCTCAGGGTCTACTCCGTAGGCGCCGTTAGGGACTCCATAGGTGTTACTGGGAGGCGCATACCCGTTGCTAGGGGCAGGGGCACCAAAGCCATTACCGTTTCTTCTGAAGCCGTTGCCTCCTAGTCCATTACCGTTGCTTCGGAAGCTGTTAACGTTATCTTTGCTTGGAAGAGCTCCGAAATCGTTTCCTTGGGCCCCAACATCAGTATTTGGCGCTCCATTCCCAAAAATGTTATTCTGGCCGGTCGGGGGGCCATAGTAAACGGCGGGAATGATCTGGGCAGCAGCAGTGCCCAAAAAGGCTGCAACAAGAAATATGAAGCATTGTTTCAACCAAAAGATTGTCCATATATATATATGTGATTAACCTAACCCTAGAAAAATGATTTCAGAAAGTTCCGTAAACGTCATATCCCAAGAGTAGCAGATTTTTTGCCATATGCACTATGTATTATTACAGCTATGTGTATCCCACGACGCCATCTGACATCTAAAACTCCGAAGGGAAGGAAGATCATGAATATACGAATTTAGATGCCGTAGATACTAAACGATAATTGGACAACAGGTGACTTTACTGCTTAATGCATGTAAAAGCATATTTCACACATGTACACGTATGCATATCCTCTCTTCCCCTCTCCCCCATATTTCTCCCTCCCTCTTTATTTCTGTCTGTCTGCCCGTGTGTCTGTCTGTATCTCTCCTGTCATCTTTCTCACCCCCACCCCCTTTCTTTCTCTGCCTGTCTGTTTCTTTTCTCTCCCTCTTTCTCCATATATATCTATGTCTGTCTGTATGTATCTATCTATCTATCTATCTATATATATATATATATGTGTGTGTGTGTGTGTGTGTGTGTGTGTGCATCTATCTGTTTATTTATACATACACACACATATATGCAATTAGATAGAAAGAAGTGTCATTTAAGCATATAATGACATATAGCCATTAATTTATCCCAACCACACATACACACACTTCCCGCCGAGACTTACCACAGAAAAGAAGGAGATTCATAACAAAAGCAAATGAATTTATTGAAGGAATGCTACGGAAAGTCAAGAGTGAAGGCCCGAGCGGAGCAGACAGGGGAGAACAGAGCTGAAGACAGTGCTTGACTCCCTCAGCCGCTGCCTTTTATAGCAAGCATGGCCACGCTCCGCCCATCGCCCCCCCCCCCACCCCTTTTTTTTTGGGACTCGGCCATTACAAGAATGTTGTAATCCTTTTTTTTTTTTTTTTTTTTTTTTTTTTTTGGGGGGGGGGGGGTGAGATGTCGAAATTTTTGCATCGGCGGCCTGAATGAAATATTAGCTGTCAGGTAGGAATGTGCAATGCTGGTTCATATGTAGAATTACTGAAGGTTTTGGCGTTGTGGTATGTGGTATGATATAGAGGCTTTTGGAATTGTGAACATATGCAAACACACATATACATATATACATATATATATATATATATATATATATATATATATATATATATATATATATATTTGTGTATGAGTGCATGTATGCATGTGCACGTGTATATATATATATATATATATATATATATATATATATATATATATATATATTTGTGTATGAGTGCATGTATGCATGTGCACGTGTATATATATATATATATATATATATATATATATATATATATATATATATATATATAAACATACATATGTAGATAAATAAGTAAATAGATGGGTATAAGATATGTTTACACACACACACATATATACATATGTAGACATACAAATGCATATGTATGCATATATATATATATATATATATATATATATATATATATATATATATATATATATATATATATATATATATATATATATATATATATATTATATATATGTACACACACATATATCCATGCCATATAGAAAAATCCAACTGTCTTCATCAAAGAGGACAACAATGTATATACTAATGAAGAGGTTGTGTATGTAATCATAATCAACCTAACTAATTTTCAGTCATATCTTTACAGACATTATTCTTTCAAAAAGAGTGAAGTTAAAGTTCTTAAAGAACCGGGCAAAACACACAGACATTCACACACACATATACATACATACACACACACACACACACACACACACACACACACACACACACACATATATATATATATATATATATATATATATACATAAATATATATATATATATATGTATATGTATATATATGTATATATATATATATACAGAGAGAGAGAGAGAGAGAGAGAGAGAGAGAGAGAGAGAGATTTATCTATAAGTACAGAGAGAGAAGAAAATATCTGTAGATGAATATAGATATGGATAGACAGATAGATATAGATATAAATAGGTAGACAGGTATAGATGTAGATAGGTATATAGATAGCAAGACAATTCTCTTTTGATATCCTTATTTTCTAATAACATCTACAGCAAATATTTTCTATCATAGGCCTACAGCGTACTCGACATAAGGCAACGGGGTAAAGTCATGATCAAAGTAAAGCTTCACATTCGGTCAACCGCAATAAAGTTGAAGGATAAATGGGTCACCTTTTGCTGTGTTGTTATGCAAAATTGTGCTTCCTCACTGAACGGGAACTAAGCAATACTCAACGTAGTGTACGATAGTTGTTAGAATTGAAGTTTCTATAGAAATATGGCCAACAGGTAGGTTGACCCCTGCCAGTCTGCTTTTACACTGCGAATTGGTAATCTGTAAACGTAATTACTGTATCTGTTCCAGTTTTTTTCTTATGTAATGAATGAATTTAAGCGGATTTAATTCCCCAAATATGTAAACTGGTTTTAGCTTACTATCTAACTCATGCATTTGAGAGTAATTGTAATCGTATGTGTTTGGCTTTCATTGAAAACTTTCAGAATTATGTACTGCTAAACTGTGTCCAGTAATCAGGAATCTACTGAGCTCAGTGACCCATGTAATTTGTGGTATCAGTTACTAAACTTACTTTTAGTCAAAGGCCACAAGTTTACATATAATTTCTGTCATTTAAGGAAGGAACGATACAATGCACAGTTTTATGTAATATATATTCCAAAATATTTTTACATACAGGTAACTACGAGATGTGTTTAACTGTCGAATACTTTTACAAAACAAAACAAATACGTTTATGCAGGCGAGTAAGAATAGCATAACATGATTTTATAAAGGAGATGGGAAGGGAAAAGAAGAAAAAGAAAAATGAAAAACTGGTCTAAAACTGGACGAAAAAGAGAAATGGGGGAAGATGAGTGTGAAGTTAAAGAACGCTAAGAGCATTTTGATTCTGAGAACTATGGAGTCTTTGACAGAAGCGGCTTACTAAGGAACACCATAGGAATTAGAAGGAGCCCCGTAACCGTTTCCATTGCCACCCAGACCATTCCTTCCGTTGCCATTTCCATTCCTACCGTTGCCGTTAATACCCGGGCCATAACTGTATCCGGCGTCGGGAACGACTCCGATGAGTTCGTTGACGGAGTAGAAGCTCTCAGCTTGAGAACAGTCCACGTTGAACCACCAGTCACATACCAGGTACTGCTGGTTGAAGATGGTACCGTTGGGGCACAGGAACGAGTCCTGTTGGCGCCTGAGGGCGCGGTCCTGGCAGATATGGAACACCTGGCAGCCGGCTTCAGCTGCAGTGTCGGCGTAATAACCTTGCACCGCTACGGCATCACAGGAGAACCCAGTGTCGGGCACGGAAGCCAAGATGGGGTAGTCCTCGCCGGGGACGCCGCCCCCGGGAATGTTCTCGGCCAAAGCGGCAATCTCAGGGTCTACTCCGTAGGCGCCGTTGGGTACTCCATAGGTATTACTGGGAGGGGCACTGTAACCATTTCTTGGCGCTCCGTTACCGAAACCATTCGGGGCACCATATGAGTTTGGTGGCAGTGCTTGGGCATAAGCAGTGCCTACCAGAGCTGAAGGAAAGATAAATTAAGAAATCATTATCCTATATTCTGAGAACGCGATAGCTAGATCAATGCGATTTTTTTTCTGTTAATCATTGTTTAAAGCTTCTCTGAATAAATACTCTTATAGAATATGTTCCTCTTGTATAAAGCCCATCCATCTCTTTTTTGTCACCCATGGAGGAACTTCACTGAACTTCCCTACAATTAGTGATAAAACCCATTCTTTCAAGAAAGAATATTCAATAGACCCTTCTATGGGTTCTATGGGGTAGGGGCTAGGACATTAATTCAGGCTTCAACAGGTTGTCGGAAGTACTGAACTTACCACAGAGGAGTAGAATATACATGGTAAGAACAGAGCAAAGAGTGAACGTAATGGTACAGTGAATGGCAAGGAAAATCTAGCCTTCGTTTAGAAAAGCAGTCATAGGTGATGAATTTCCTGTGAATCCGACTTTTATACTCGTGTTTAGATGAAGCTCCGCCCACCGTCCTACTCCCGTCCAACTTTGACGATTGTTGAACAAGAGTGTTGAGCAAGAAAAGTTCACATTTCTAGTGTATGATTGCATTCTCTTGGTACATTTTTCTAGGATAATGAGGAGCTATTATTTATGAAAGCAGAAGACGAAAAGAGATGGGCGCTTTACATAATCATTGCATACTGTATACGTGTAATATAAATCAAAGTGTGTGCATATATATATATATATATATATATATATATATATATATAGATAGATAGATAGATAGATAAATAGATAGATAGCTATGCATGTGTGTATGTGTGTTTGTATGTATGTGTGTGTGTTTGCACACACATACACGTATATGTGTGTGTTTGTGTATGTATGTGTATACACACACACATAAAGGTAGATAAATAGATAGATGGATAGATAGATATATATATAGATAGACATATGTACAGATAGATAGAGATATATATAGACAGACAGATATATATGAATATACACACACACACAGAATTTGCATATATATTTCACAATATTTCAGACTGATTGGGGGAGCGG